AAATAAGGCATAGTGTTGGATGGGTGGGGAGGTGGGGAGGAACATGGAAGAGATGAGGGAGGGAAACTATGATCATAATATTGTTATGAAAACATTTTAAATTAAAAGAGAATTTGTATGCTAGGTATGACTAATAAATGTGATGTACTAGGCACCTGGACTCGGTATTAACCCCTAAGAAAAGAGACAGCTCTGGGGAGTTACTTAGTAGAAACAGGGGCAGGTGGGGAAGTCAGTCTTACTTGGATGTGAGCAGGCAGAGGCTCCAGGTGCCATCTCCCTCCAAAGAGACTCCCATTGTTTCATAGTTCCCTTTTCTTACATCAAAATCTGTTTCTGTATCTCACCAGTCTGCAGCCCTGTAACCCAGAGTTAGTTTAATCCCTGTTCCAAATGAAAGATAAAAGCAGCATGTTACCCTTGAAATATTAAGCCACAGTAATTTTCATTCCCCATAAGTGGCAGTGCCCTATGACCCCTCTCTCTATGAATCAATGGGTTCTACCGTTCCAGGGGAAGACTGAATACATAACTAGAACAAAGCCATTACTCGGCTTAGGGTGTCAAACTAAATTTCTTAAGTTCACAGCGAGATAATTCCAGGCTTTGTTAAGAGAAAAAGGGTTTTGCCTAAATCCAAAAAGTTTTCTTTTTCAACATCTTCGAAGCCCTGCCAGAGGTTCAGGGTACAGTTTACTGTAAGGCTGAGGTTTTCGAATGGACTCTCTGAGGGTTACATTCTCTCTGATGATGCAAAAGAAAGGTTTTAAAATTGTTCACTTAATATTCTTCCTTAAAATTATCTGCCTCAAAGATCTGCTGTAATTTACTGGCTTTCCTCCCTCATCTCAGTCTGCCTTTTTCAGCCATCACTTTTTCAGTTTTATACATGAAAAAGTCATACTCCCCACCATCTGAATTCCAACAATGGTGCATGGCCCCAGGAGACAAAGGCCTCCAGGGCACTGAAGGACTGGCTGTTTGAAGAGCTACACAGCCCTGGGAGGAGTGCCAGGAAGGCTCACAGAACACAGCAAGGGCAGCATCTGTTTACCTTGGTTTCTATACTTTGGAATTCACATGCGACATGGCTGTCATGCAGACTCACATGGAAACACTTCAGCTGGAAAATTAAATCAAGGCTTCTTCTAACCAAAGGCATCCTGGTTAGCTGGCTGGCTGGGCAAGCAGAGAACCAACTCTGTCTGTGGGTAAGGTTTAATGTAAAAACATTCCACTGAAAAACATTGAATCGGGAAATCTAATGTTCTCAGGTTCCAACAAAAGGGCACACACACAATATAAAATATACCACAGGCTTTTGCAACTATGAAACCTATGACAAAAAAAAAAAATGTAGATGCTGATTTGATGGATGTGGAAGTTTTCCAGAATCCTTTAAAGAGTTCTGTAGTCAGATTTTCTTTGGACTTCCAGCTCCCAAATAATGACACAGAGACTTTTTATTAATTAAAAAAGCTTGACCTTAGTTTAGGCTTGTTTCCGGCTAGCTCTTAAAACTTAAATCAACCCATTGTATTAATCTATGTCCTGCCACATGACAGTTTCAAAAGTTTAGCCCATTATCATCATAGCGGGGAGCATGGAGGCAGAGGCTGGAGCAGTAGCTGAGAGCTACATCCTGATCCATAAGCAGAGAGAGAGAGAGAGACTGATACTAGCCTGCGATAGGATTTTGAAACCTCAAGGCCCACCCCTAGTGACACACTTCCTCCTATAAGGCCACACTTCCTGATCCTTCTATCCTATCAAACAGTTCCACTCCCCAGTGACTAAGCATTCAAATGGATGAGCCTCTGGGAGCCGTTCTTATGCCAAGCACCACACAGCCTACAATACATTGTCACTGTCTTCTCTTGAAATCACCCTTTCAGTGCTTTACTGACATCCGAGGCACTTCCTCTCAGCCAGTCAAGTTAGCAATCAGGATGAAGGATCACAAGTAACAAAGCAACTTGAGGGAACATTGTTGTCAGGATTCATGAAAAAACCTTGCAGAGAAGGCTTTCCCAGTGGGAAGGTCTGTGCTACATTCCAGAAATGTTCTCTGTCTGTGCTGCCCAGTACTATGAGCTTCAGTGAGTCGGCCCCTGAAACACACCTAGGAAGACTGAGGAACTTAATTTTAACTTTTGCTTCATTTTAATTGATTCTAGATGAAATTTAAGTAGGCACATGTAGCTCATAGCTACTGTACAGTATTGCCAAAAATGAAATCTTTCATTTTTCTCTTCACAATTACCAGGGAATAAGCTGATTATTTTACTTTACGATCAATATTTTCCTCAATGACCTTCCTCCCAGTTCTTGATGAGCCGGGATTGTATATTGAGCCAATACTGCCATTTTCTGGATAATCAAGGGTTTTCCTCTGCAGAGAAGGTTGATTGTTAATCTTAGTTCTTGGACCCAGATGTGTTTATTTAATTTTAATTTTTTTGGTTATCCGAGACAGCATTTCTTTTAGTAACAGCTCTGGCTGTTCTGGAACTCACTCTGTAAATCAGGCTGGCCTCAAACTCAGAGATCCACATGCCCCTGCCTCCTGAGTGATAGAATTAAAGGCGTGTGCCACCATTTCCTGGAAATTTTTTAACTTACTTTTAATATGCTTTTGATTTACAAAATTAGATTTAGTTCTGTAAGGAGCTTGTAACCAGGCAGGCAAAGGCCTGGCTGAAGAAAGATTAAAAGAAAGGGAGCATAGGCCCACTATGTGGCCATTGTAGTTAAGAGTGGGGATGTGTAGAGCGTGGCAAAGTGCGATTAGCAAGATTTAGCAAACTATTTAAGGACCAGCTCAGAACTAGAATTTTAGAGTGTACCATGACTCTATGCTCTGGAGCTCTCCTCTGATAACCTGAAACAACCAGTCCATCAAGCTGAGTGCCGCCCATTCTGAACCCGATACCATGACATGGGCCCTCAGGAGATTCCACAGTCTGAATCCAGAGGAACAGAAGTCATGAGCCGGAACTTGTGGGCTACTGCAGGAGAGGTACCCCCAACTGTGAGCCTATTGTCTGTGGTTCTTAGGATTGTTTGCTTATGCTTGTGTGTTACTTTGACATAAGTGTGAAGTAAAACTTATATACTCAAACCAGCTCGCTGAGTTTTGTCATTCCTCCCAGGTCAAAACCTGGTAAGGGCTCCAGACTAGTTCAGTACTCACCTTCCCAGGGTTAACAGCTTTGACTTCTAAGTGTAATTTTCCCCACGTTCCCTCCTTATTCAGTGATATCTGATCTTTAGCATTAATGAATTAATTATCTATTTCTTTGCCAGGGTCCAGCCTATATCAGTCCCATGATACAGAGCCATCTATTCCGGACTGATGTCTTAGGGACTGCTATAGGCAGCCAAACAGCTCCGGGTCCAACCCTGAGTGGGGGAGTGTGGATGAGGGAAGTCCCAGCTACCCAGCAGCGTCAAGGACGAGACAGAACATCTTGTCATCTCAGGAGGGCTCTCAGTCAGTACAGGAGACCACAATTTATTCCAGCATCATGTATATAGGACTGACTAGGAAACATTTCCTTTAATCCTAGAGATAGTCCTAAAGTGCACGTACTCAAGCCCTTAGACATTCCACAAGGGCACGTTCCACCAGCCTTCTGGCACACCCCACTGGTCCCCAGGCACATCTCACTAGCCCTCAGGATGGGTGTGTGTCCACCCAGGGCCTAGGTCTATTGTTACACAAGTCGGAGCCATACTTCACCTTGGACAGGACATCTGGAGGTAACCAGCCCACATCTAAAAGACAATAGATTCGAGCTCCTGGAATTGAGCTGAGGTCTACTCCTAAATATTACATTCAGGCCCTGACATAACTATATATCAAATTATCTCAAAATTTAGTGACTTGGAAAACTGCATTTTTTTTTTTTCTTCTCCACGGTGTCTGGGACTCAGAAATCTATGGGTAGCTTTTCCAGGAATTGGTCAGGGTGGCCTCCCAGAAGGCTCAGGGTCTCCCAGAAGGCTGCCACCAAAATAGCAGCTAGCACCCCAGTCATCTTTAGGCTGGACCAAGGGGGACTATGGTTCCAAACTCCCTCACATTACTGTTGACAGTTGTTGCTGCTGTAGTTATTGTTCATTGCAGCCAAAGTTACCCTTGAAAATTATTCTCCTGCTTCCTCCTCCCAAGTGCTGGGATTACAGGTACATACCACCATACCCAATAGTTACTAAATTTTGGAGGAGGTCTCAATATGAGAGCCATCTCTGTAGCTAACTACATCAATAGATGTCTCCAACCTTCTTTTATCCTGGTTCTTTAACCAAAGAAATGCAGACAGGTGTCTGGGCAAAAATCAAAAGGGACAAGTGGAGTGTTGTTGTCTTACTTAGGGCTTCTATTGCTTTGAAGAGACATCATGACCACCACAACTCCTAAAAAGGAAAACATTTTATTGGGGTGTCTTTCATTTTCAGAGGTTTAGTCCATTATCATCGTGGTGCACCATGGGGGCATGCAGGCAGACATGGTGCTGGGAAACAGGCAACAGGAAGTAATCTGAGGCCCTGGGTGTGGCTTGAACATATATAGAACCCAAAGCCCATCTTCACAGTGACACACCTCTTCCAATAAGGCCATTATCTATTCCAACAAAGTCACACCTCCTGATAGTGTCACTCCCTGTGAGCTTATAAGGGCCAACTTCATTCAAACTACCACAGTTGTTTTGAGTCAAATTCTTAACTATCCTTTATGGCTTATGTGCAAAGCTACCAAGGTCACAATGACAACAGCAGACTCTTCATAGTTTTACTATTTGGCTTATTGCTGTCTCCTTATTTACCTCCAGAGGAGTAAGAGAACTAACCTCTGGCTCACTCATGACCCAAATGTGATTTTACTTCTTAGGTCTGACCAAGGCCTGGGACTTTAGTTCTATTCAGTACTATAATATTATCTATTGATTTCTGGATAAAATTATTCTACTTCTCTGCTGTTAAGAAAAGATAAATTCGACCTTCCATGGGAGGGGAGGTACCATGATCACGAAGGAGGTTTTTCCCAGGGCGAGGCTTATGCATTTCACTCTGGATGTGCTAACCTCTTCGATTTCCCCAAATGTAGGAAACTCAACTAATAAATTTAATAAAAAATTCTGATTTGTAGTGTTTAGAAATTTCTATGGTGTAAATTCTCAACCATGGCTGAATTAGCACTATCATGTCATTGAGAAGGTAAACACAAATGTGCTACCCAACCTGAGAGCACAGCAGAGATCTGCTCCTTTGTTATCTCATCTCCACCCCAGGATCATGCTAATTTACAGTAAAGAACACTGAAGACAATGGGGTGCCACTGACAGCCTTTGAATTTCAGCATTGGCTTTATCTTCAGCGGAACTGTGGCATTGCTTCAGTAATGGTTCATCCTCTTGCTTCAAGGCAATGGTAAACTCACCTGCACCTTTTAGGCACCTGGGGGATTTTAAGAATTATCAGTGCTCGGGTTTGAAACCCCAGAGATAATCATTCAAGCATCAGAGATTGGGAACTTTTGAAAGCAGATAATTTTTAATGGTTTGAATAGGAATGGTCCCCACAGGCTGATATATGTGAATGCTTCATCATTAGGGAGTGGCACTACTTGCAGGGATTAGGAAGTGTGGCCTCATTGGAGGAAGTGTGTCACTAGGGGTGAGAGTTGTCATTTCAAATGCTCAAGCCAGACCTAGTGTCTCTCTCTGCCTGCTGCCTGTTGATCTGGATGTACAACTCTAAGCTACCTCTCCAACACTATGTCTGCCTGCACACTCCCATGTCCCGACACAATGATAATGGATTAAACCCCTGAAACTGTAAGCCCCCCATTAGATGTTTTCCCTCCTAAGAGTTGCCGTGGTCACAATGTCTCTTCACAGTAATAGAATACTGACTAAGACAGCAACCAAGTAAAACCATCTCCTACTTATGTAGTCTGTGGGTGGTGACGGTATTTTCACTTTTGGCATGGTGAAGAAAAGTGAACCTGCGTGGCCACTGGCGAAGAGAAGAGGTGAGAGGCCAGGCTAGACCTGGTGAAAGGTCAAGCTGAGGGAAAGTGTACTCTGCCTCATGCATGCATCCAGAAAAGAAGCATAAATATTTTTTGAGTCCTTAAAAGGCACCAGTTCTCCTCCTCCTCCTCTTCCTCCTCTTCCTCCTCCTATTCCTCCTCCTCTTCCTCCTCCTGCTCCTCTTCCTCTTCCTGCTCCTCCTTCCTACTTTCTTCCCCTGGACTTCTTCCTATAGCCCAGACTGGGCTTCAACTCTAGATCCTCCTGCCTCCACCTCCAAATGCTGGAATTACAGATATGTGATTTTTCTTTGGTTGGGGGATTTAAATGAGTGTGGGACACTCTGAATTCCTAGGAAGTTGTCTGCTGTATTCTGAATTGAGAGGAGCTGGCATTATCATTGTGACATCTAGTTCAACTTTCCCCATCCATATTAGATTCGCACCTCTTTTCTTTTAACCAGAGGGGATCAAAAAACTCAGTCACACTACCACAGCTTGTGCAGTTCAATTTCTCAAGTCTGGGGAAATCGCAGGGGTCTGCACATCCCAAGTGCAATGGACAAGCCATGCTCTGGGAAAACCACCTGCAAAATCATTTTTTATTTTTATAGCATTAAATTAATTCCTGAAATAACTGGTATTTAGAATTTTACCAATTGATAAAATTGCCACTTTACAATTGAATCATTTTTATGCAAAACATTTCATAGAACAATCCATATGTCAGTCAGTCCCCAAGTCCACAGATGACAGAATCAGGACCACAAGGATCTGCTGAGTACAGGCTGTGGTCAGCCACACAGAAGGGCAGTACGAGTCAGACTCAGTTTCTTGATCTATAAAAACAAGGACAGAGGACAAGAGGACTTTGGTATCATTGACTTTAGGGCAGTGGTAGTGTACACCTTTAATCAAAGCACTCAGGAGGCAGAGGCAGTGGAACTCTGTGAGTTTGAGACTAGCCTGGTCTACAGAGGATGTTCCAGGATAGTCAAGGTTGTAACACAGAGGAAACCCTGCCTCAGAACACACACACACACACACACACACACACACACACACACACAAAGCATCATGAAATGGAAAACACAGGGGTATCAATGAACTGAAATCTCATCTAGTTTGGTGGGCACTGCCAAATTCAAAAGTTAAAAAAAAAAAAAAAAAGCAACTGGGGCAGGGGAGTTTCTATTCCCTCTAGGTGAGAAGTTACAAGTGAGTTTGACCTCATGTGTCACCTGTGGGACAACAGTGACCTCCTTGCATTGTGCTGAGAAGGTTTCTCAGACTGGATCCATCTTGCTCAGGGTTCAGAGCACAAGACTCGATTGGCTGACACACAATGGTCTTGGAAAGAATTAAGAAGACACATGCCTGTGTCCCATCCTTCCCCCCAAGATTTTCACCCAGACCAGTGCCCCATTCATCTCTGATTAGTTCTTCTGATCGAGGCTCTGCATTCTGCTACTCTCTGCTGTAAAAACACGGCCAGGGCAGTGTTGGCTCTGAAGACAATTCAACAGCAAAGCACAACTAGTGAGTCTCCAGTAAGCAACTTCACTGCAGATGAGGTCTTTATAATGGTCAAATACCATGAGTGCATTGACCTAAATGTCTCATCTGTTTAAAGAAACTTGATATTGAATACTGTTTTGTCTAAGACAAACAATCAAAAAAAGCTTTTGATGTTTTTTACATTTCATCTAGCTCATTGGACATAGCCTCCAGTGTAAAAGAAAATGTAGCCTTCCTTTCTTCTACCTGCTTAGGTTTCAAAGATGGTGGCCTCTCTTTAGGCTATGTGACACCACAGCATGATCTGGAAAATAATTGAGTACTTTAGGAGTTAATCCAGCACAGACTTTGAAGCCGAAGCAATCCCATCACTAATAGCTACTTGGCAGAATGATCCTTCCTTCTGGCTCTTCAAATTGGATGTAGTAATTGCTCTGGAATTTAAAACGCATCTGGGGAATTCCTTGTTTTACATTTAGGGCACAAACAGCAAATGGCTTGGGTGTGTCGTTTGTGTGTGTGTGTGTGTGTGTGTGTGTGTGTGTGTGTGTGTGTGTGTGTGTGTGTGTGTGTGTCTTGTGTTTTCTGTGTGTATGCCGTGTGTAGAATCACTGTACGCATAAATATGACATCTTCTCACTGGAAACGTCTGAAAATCTTTTAACTTACCAGGTTATAACGGTATCAAAATCAATGAATTGATCATGCCATGTGTTGGCACACTTGTTTGTGAAATCAGTCACAAACTGACACATGTCTGTGAAATCGATCATGCATTGGCACATGTGTCTATGTGTCTGTGAAATTGAAAGACCCCGGAGGCTCAGGGCCCCAGGATCTCAGCCCAAGAGACCACAGCCACCCCAATCACCAGGCAGAGTCAAAAGCTTGATGCAAACAGCAAAAGGCTTTATTGCAGTTGTTTAATGAGCTAACCCCATGTTAGCCCAGGCCTCTCACCCATCCACCATGACGGATGGCTAGGAAAGATGTGGCGAAGCCACGACATAGAGATCTTATAGGGCGGCATAAGGGAAGTGTCTAGGGGTACGCACAGGCTCAGGATTGGTGTGCCTCCAGGCTTGCCCTGTGCTGATTGGTCAACTGGTTGTTATGTCCCATAGGCCCTCCCAGGGCGGTTGCTATGCTCTGTGTGTCATTGCTGTGCACTTGTCTGTAAAGCACAACCAGAGCTGTAAAGCATAGCACCACTAACTAACTTCTGATTGGTTCCTTGCCACAAAGCAGGCATCTGACCTCCTAGTGACCAAGGCAAGGTCAGGCAAGCACACGCTAGGCTGTTATGGCTGCTGAAATGGAGAGTTGGTCCCTTCAAAATCAATCACATGCAGGCACACATGTCTGTGAAATTGATCACGTGTTGTGTTGGCACACATCTGTAAAACCAATCAATCATGCGTTGGCACACATATCTAGGTGTCTGTGACATCAATCACATGTAGGCACACAGGTCTGTGAAATCAGTCATACATTGGCACACATGTCTGTAAAACTGGTCACACATTGGCACATAAGTCTGCGGGAAGGAATCCTCCTGGGAAGCATTTCTCAGATGGGTGCTCTGTCCGCATGCGTTGCTGCTGTAGAGATGCCCACCTTCGTGTCTATTTGGGGGGTGTCATCACCGTTAGTAAAAGGTGTGGGGTTTGTTTCTTCACAGCCATGACTCAATTTCCTATGAATCTGAGTTGTTTTTCTTTCGCTCTCCCTCCTTTGGTGTCTGTTATCTTGATTAGACCATTAGATGGTTCTGTGGCTCTCCTCACGACCAAGACTACTACACGTAATTCCTGAGACTGGGGTTAGACATCAAGTCTTCTGCTCCCTCCTGTCCTCCCTAACTGCTTAGTTTTATGTAATAGCACCTGATACACAAAGAAGTCTGGGAGTCAACCTTTATAATGGTCATGTTTAGCTTACATTGGTGATTTTTATTCCTCGGCAACTGGGAATGGGTAGTATCACTGGGGTTTCCAGCTGCAGCAACTACTTACCAATCACCATAAATCCATGAACTGTCAAACATCCCAATATCTTAATTTATTGAAATACTGAAAGAAATTGAGTCAGTAAACTAGTCCCCAACTAGGAATGAGTCTCTGCTTGTGGTGATAATTTCAAGAATTGGTGAAGAAACCAAAAAAAAAAAAAAAAAAAAAAAATCACTACTCACTTATGGAAAGAAGAAACTGGAAAGCAGAGGCCTTGCTGTGAGTTAGCTGAACTTGAGCTGGGGAAGGACTAATGAGCAAGAGACAACAATGTCCCGTGTCCTACCATGTCCTCTGCAAGTTCAGAGGCAAAGGTGAGTCCAGGGATGCGTTAGGGAGTCAAGACTTGAGGTGACTGAACCAAGCTGAAGGAGAAAGTCTGTGACGACAGAAGGGGAATGTACAGGCATTGACAGAGAGACCTGAAGGCAAAGCCATGGAGGGAGGGGCAGTGAGGTCAGGGAGGAAGCCATCCTGCCTGAGGCAGGTGGTGGGACAACAGAGACTCATGTAAACTTGATATGTACAGCCAAATTACTGGGGGCCTTTAAGGCTACACAGAGAAGCTCAGAGTTAATGTGACACAGGATCAGG